TATATTATTTTTCCATGTCGATAGATGAGGCTCTGCCTCACCTGCCTCCCCTGACCGCACGTCACTGATAGTTGAATAACCAGCTGGTGTTTTATGTCAATTTTTGCTGTCTTCATCTTGCTGACCATCGTTAGCGCCGCCATAATTTGCCAACAGCTGATGGTCAGGGGAAAAAAAATATTTTACATTAGGCTCTTAAATAGATTCATACACACAAATGTAGGATATTATAGCTGAAATATCAGTATGTTTTAGTTTTAGAAGTCTGTGATTTAGTTAGTGTTAAGGAAGAGATTCTAAATTGGTTAACTTTGAAAAAAGTCTGGCTCTCTCTTCCTCTGGATCCCAGGTCCTCTCGGCGAGCCACGTGTGGCCACAAGGAAAACAACAATGCGTGTTGACGTCACAGAATTACAGAGTTTAATCCAATATAAGACAATGTATAAACTTACACCAGAAACTGCAGAACAACGGAGACATACATTCATTTACCTGACATAAATGGAAAGAAGAGGAAAAGCAAAGACGTGCAAAGACATCTTTTGAGATTTGCAAGAGCAAATCTGATTTGTTACTTCTGTGTAGAAAGTTTTATAGTAAAGGCGTATTCTTATCTTTAATTTATTCAAATAAGGCGTATCTTTGCTCCTCCAACCAGGAGTTATCTCTGACCCTCTCTCAAGCCAGAAACCCCTGCCGTGTTTACGGCCTTTCACAGATGAGTGTGAAAAGCTACAACTTCTACTGTATTGTTTTCCCACTCAGACAAAAGGCAGTTCAAACGATCCTAGCAAACCATCTGCTGTAACTACAGGTAACATAAAGGTCAATAGGCCAGAATACATTACTGATTTTAAAACCACAATTAGGGTATTTGAATTAAGACATGTTAAGTTTTAAAACTAGCTTATTTTACATTTATTTTCTCAACATTAGTTATAGGTTTTCCCCATTTTTTACCGTTTTTATTTATTTCATTTAACAAAAATATTTTCTCAATTTCAGTGTTTGTTATTTCTTTTGTTTTAGTTAACTATAATAACCTTTGTTTAGACCGATTATTTTTGTAACTTTTTTAATGTGTTAACCCGGAACTGAAAGACTGTAGCCTTCTTTTTATACTGACTCTATGTTAGAACTATTTCAGGATTTAAGATTTTTTCCGTGGCAGAGATAAATTGGTGAGAACAAATGCAGCACGATAAATAAGTTGAGAATGATTTCGTCACCTGTAGGGTACAGGATGTGCATTCAAGGCGTTTGAGTTTGTTCTTTCAAGCGCCGCCTGCTTCTGCTTCTTGAGAATCACCTCCTGGAGTTTCTGTTTCACCACCGAACTCGCCACAGCGCCTGCAGATCAACAACAGCGACACAAACACGCACACACAAAACAGCACACAGATGGAAGAATTACAGCATAAAGTAAGCAGTCCAATCCACATGACTCATATTAGAGTTTTACGTCGGGATATAATTAGTCACATCAATAAAAAGTGTTTAAAAAAACAACAAACGGTTTCAGCCAACAAAAGCACACTTTTCATACATGTGTCTTTGAGAGTCGGACTTTTCTGGGAGTGTGTTTGCTGTCATTTGGGTATGTTTTCGGTGCGAAAGCAAATGTGTGCACACACAGGTGACAGCAGGTGCTAGGAGCGATCAAGTCAATATTGACCCAGTGACTTTATGCGCCCAGGCCCAACTCTATATTTAACTCCCCTGGTGTAGCTCCACTTGTCAGGTTATATTTAGCAGTTGTTTCAAAGCAAACAGCTCTGAGAAGTGAAGTGACGCAGTTCCGTCACTATTCAAAGCCACAGATCTCCTGTGGGGACTTTCCTTTACGGCCATGATTAGCACTCTGAGAAATGCTTATTTTTAAAGATCAGATGAAGAACGGCAATTTGGAACCTTAATTTAAACTTGCAGAAACATGTCATTAAAGTAAAGGGTTTAGAGAGAGAGAGTGTGTGTGTGTGTGTGTGTGTGTGTGCGTGTGCGTGCGTGCGTGCGTGCGTGCGTGTGTGTGTGTACAGACTCACTCTGCTGGCTTCTGTCTTTGTGCATTAGCTGTTGTAGTTCCTGATGTTTCTCATGGTGCTCCTGCTCCCGTCTCCTCTGCTCCATGTTAAACTGCAGCCGAAAACACACACGCATGTTAGACAAGAATGATAGGACGAAGAATAAAGTTGGATTATTATCTTGAGGAAGTTCATCTACCTATGCTTTACAGAGTTGCAACACATTTTTTAATTTCAAAATTCCATATTTTCCATTTTTTTCCAAAAGTTCAGTGGATGGATGGATACACAATCAAAACATGCTTTAACTGTGTCATTGCTAATTAAAATGGCACATTTCTGATATATTAAAATTAAATACAATATGCACACTTAATGATATTTTATTAACAATTAGGTAATGCACTCAGCAAGTACCGGTACTTTTACTTTTAATACTTAAGTATTTTTAAAAGCCAGTACTTTTTAACTTTTACTTAAGTACAAATGTTAATGTAATACTTTTACTTTTACTTGAGTACATTTTTCTTTGTATTTGTACTTTTACTTAAGTTAATTTTTTGAGTACTTTCTCCACCACTGTCCAGGATGAGCTCAGACCACTCGCCCAATGAGAGAGAAGCAAGAACAAGCAGCTATAGACAATGAATAAATGGATGGATGGGTGGGTGGATGGGTGGGTGGATGGGTGGGTGGATGGATGGATGGATGGATGGATTGTGTGCATTTTATCCTGAACAAATATTTTTCCTTTCTGTTTTTCTGTTTGAAATTCATGCTGCCCCTGATTTGTCAGGAACTCTTGGCATTGCATCTTTACCCTGATTTGCTGATGCAGCTGCTGCTGCTGCTGGGAGAAGGCACTGCGGCCTTGTGGGGAGAAGGGTGTGAGGAGCAGTGGCTGGTGCAGCGGGGTCCCCCGCTCTCCCACCCTGAGGTCCATGGGAAGGAACACGGCGCAGGACACTGACAGAGCGCTGGAAAAACCTGGAAGAGACAGACAACAGAAAGAACATGGATTGTGTCAATGATCCTCCTCACTAACAACATCCAACACACAGAACAAAGTTCTGATTAAAAAGAACCGTAATACACATATCAGAGAAGTAGTAACAGAAAGCTGTTTTTTATGTAACCTTTAGGTAAAGTTGGAACTCTTGGATTCAATAATGTTACAGTGGCGAGTCAGAAAACAATAGGAATCTACCATTTGTTGTGCTTCGAGGCTAACTAGCATTAGCATTTCAAACCAATAATGATGAATTCTCTAGATTTTATCCATTTGAACGTTCAAATAAAATTGTGTGCCAAATTCTTTCAGATACAAATGATCAGAAATTGGTGCTTGTGACTATTGCAATGTGTTACACGTGTGGCAGCCATGTTGGATTTGAACATTGATGAACTTTGATGTAAATTTCCCACGACATAACTCTAGTTTTTATTATATATAAACTGAATGTTCTACAGTCTAAGACTTGGAAAGAGTAAATACATTTAAACTCTAAATTATTTTAATAAAATTAAATATTTTGAAAATATAGACATAAAAAAATGTTATAATTTGGGGCTTTTAAGCAAAACCATGAGAGAAAACTCGATAAAAATATAGAAAATTCAGTTTGTGGTTTGATTTTCCCTTTTCAGTGAACAAATATAATTAAGAAAGATATTTAAAAAATTACCAGTTTTTACCTGGGAATCCCTTATCTATAGTTTTCAAATATCCACTTCCTAGATCAGAATCACACAAACTTGCAGTTGGCGTTGTTCCCAGAGGCGTAGCCTATAGATAATTTGGTTCCAGATTGACAACAAGCAAACTGCTTTATGATATCTATATTTAAACGAGGTCTAGTCAGTGGAGCGATAATAAAAAAGCCTCGACAGATTTCAATAAAAATGTGTCGCACAAATTAGCAACGATGCAGAAGATATGAATATTCTAGGCTATGCACTTTTTACCGTATCATAGTTACAGTTGATTTATGGTGCAAAACTCAACAGTAGACTTCCTCTTAATATCCGCTGAAAACCTTTTTTGTAAAGTTTACTGACACCAGCTGTTAAGGTTCCTTATAGCTACAGTAATACAAAATTAAAGTGCAAAATTACATTCACTGCAAAAACACAGAATCTGAAGTATTTTTGTCTAGTTTCTAGTATAAATATCTTACACATAAAATCAGACAAAACTAAACAAGGAACTTTTCAGAAAGACATGGGAGCTTGTTTTAAGTCAGTCATTTCATAATATTGATTAAATAAATAGTAGTTCCACAAGCAGATTATTTCACTTATAATTTTGAGTGAAATAATTTGCCAGTGGAGCTACAATTTTTATCAATATTAAAAACTTACTGACTTAAAACAAGCTCCTACATCTGGCTGGACTTATAAGCTATAGTTGCTCTTATTTCAAGTGTACAAGATATTTACACTAGAAACTAGATAAAAATATTTAAGATTTTATGTTTTTGCAATGTAATAAGCCTAGTTTGGCTGCTGCACTCTGCACATTTCCATGCCCTTTGCATGCAGTCGGGGCTATTTGCATAGCATGGCTGAGTCACTGGGAATTATCGCCTCAATCGTCGCTAAATGCAGGATCAAGGAAGGGAAGAGCTTGGGAAAAGGCAGAGTGGGAGGTGAGGGAAGGCAGTTTCTGTCCATGACACAGAGATGTTCCCGATGCACAGAAAAAAAAGTGACTCAGATCAGGAGCAGCTGTATACACTGTCACATAAGCTGCACCAGGAGCAAACAAGAATAAACACGCAAAAGTGATGCTCATTTCTCTATCCACTCACTATTTCACACTACTTCCATCGTTTTTACATTCACCTGAATGACACTTCCTGGTGAGCAACCTTTGTAAACATTCCAAAAACCCACACCCCACTCATAAACAGATACATTTGCACGCGTTCTCATGAGGCACACAAACACTGAAACAGGCTGGAGCAGACACTGATTGCTCAAACCTGCCTGACGGTGAAACCAAACTTTCAAGCACACGCGCGCACACACACACACTTTGACAATTGTTAAAAATAACTTCATCTGACATCATCTCGCTACTTCTGGAGAAGAAAATGTCACTCATAAAGAGGTTTGGTCTGCCGCCAGCAGGTGCAGCAGAAATACAGTGAAATGATAGTGACTGTCTCAAAATCTCTGGGTTGATTTATTACATGCATAGTGTGTGTGTGTGTGTGAGTGAGTGTGTGTGAATGATTGCGTGCAGGTCAGTGCTCCTCCATATTAAGAGGTACTAACACAGCCGGGATGGAGACTCTGGCTGGAATGACAGAGGTCTCATGGCAAGAGACGCACATTCACACCATCGCAGAGCACTCGGAGCATTTGCTTTTCTCCAATGACAGTCAGGAATAATAAAGTTATTATTCCCAGAGAATAATAACTTGTGTTCTCTCTCTTATAAACATGCTTATAAAAAGAAATGAACAATGAAACAGTGAGTCTGTTTCTGCTTCTTGTTCTCCTGTCCTGAAATTCGGGGAAACCACAGAAGCACACGGGGATGTCACCACAGATTCTCTGAAACACAAATGAATTTGATAACTAAAAGTGTTTCTAATTAGATTAATTTTGTCAATTGATTTAAAAATTTAATCAGATTAATCACACTCTAGCGCTGAGTAATCAGTATGAACTAACTTTGTAAGCTTGAACCACAAGCCACGCCCCGCCTTTTGCTGCACTCCAACCAATTAATATATAAGCAATTATCTGTTTTCTTTATGTTTTTTGTAGCAGAAACCAGGTAATGCAGTCTCCCAGCATTCAACAGCAATTGAGGGAAACCTGCACACAACTTAGCAAACTTGTTCAAGGGATAACTGACAGATAACATACATTTTATTTTCTAGTACTCAGGTGCCCCGTCCCTTTCTAATGCCACCCTGGCATAAGAATATGGGCTAAATGGGCAAATACCCATTTGAAGTTTAACATTTTTCAACTTGTTGCGATGAAGCACATCTACAGGTATGAGCTGTATACCTGTAAACGTGCTACATCGCAACAAGTTGAAAAATGTTAAACTTCTGTCTACTGTTGTGGAAAAACGTTCACGCTACTGTGAATTAGGAAACCCTCTTTGGGAGAGAGACTCTTAGTCAAAACAGGTTGTTCAATTAATCTGCATTATGTAACAAACACGTGTTCACATTTTTAGATCAACTGTATGTGTTAACGTATTCATGTTGACAGCCCTAAGTTAGATATGAAATCTAATGTGACTAAATGATGGAGATTTTTACCGATTAGCATTTCATCTGAAAGCCTCGTTTCTCATTTCCCCCAAACAAAACTCATCTCAACTGAACCCAAATGTTTCTTTTAAGAAAATCTGAACAAGAAAAAAGTCACATATCTGACTTTAAACACACAGATGGGACACTTAAACTGATCAGATTTTTTATCTGGATGATTTTCTTTTGCTGAAAGAAATTATTTTACTTCAGTCAATTAAACTATATCAATTGAGTTCTGTTTTTCTTTAATTCTACATTATTTTACAGCTTTAAAACACCCATTGAGACGAAACATGGCACTGGAAGAATTGGGAGGGAATGTGGACCTCACAGTCAGAGTCACAGTTACTCCTGGTAATCTCACTGTTATTTTATTTCTATTGTCAGAAGAACAAACAGAGGATTAGGTGAGCGCAAACAGAACATAATGCAACATAAGGCTCTGAACTCCAAAGCTCCAGTTAAATCTACAGAGACACACACATATAAAGAAGCAACAAAAGCTACAACAACTGTGTGAGTGTGACAATGTGTGATATTATGGAAATTGTCATGGCAGCAGTGAAGACACTATTTGCCTGGTAGTGCAGAACCGTTGGGAATGTGCTGATTTGTTGGGCAGATTAGGCGAGTGTTTTCCAGACGGACCAAATGAAACACAGGTGTGTTTGTCTGATATAGTCGCTCCCACACAGTTGTAAAGGTAATGCCTCTCCTTTGATTCCTCCCAGCTGTTTCTACTTTATTTTAAGTGAGTGCACAGTTTAATTGGGACTGGTTTTACAGGTCAGGTCAGAGCGTGCAATAGTCGCGCTCTGTCTCGTCAGATTATTTTGTTCTCAGAGAGTGGGAAGGTGTTGCCGTATGATGCAGATGACAGATGACACGTGTTTTTCCAAGTTTTGTTGAAAAAATCCCGTTTGCTAGTTTGCCACACGCTGTGTAGGGGACAAAGAGTCATGCAGAGGTCTGAGGGCCCGTCCACAGGGAAACCATTCTTTTAAAAAACTGGAACCTTTTAATCTTCTATGTCCTAGGAAACCATAAACAAGTTGATTTTTCAAAGCTGTGAAAATTTCGCCCTCACATATTCATGTTGACAGTAAAAAGGCCGCTTGTGAAAACAAACACTGATGTATGGATCTAACCTGAACCTGAACGCATCATTCATAACAACAATGGCGGTTTACATGTTCATGGCTGTTGCAGAACCTCATTCATCTCATTAAAACTCAGTTTCTATGCACCACAAATCTTATTCCAACTTCCAGAAAAATGCAAAACTGCTGGAACACTGAGTTCCTTAAAATGAAGGTTAAAAACCCACCTGTTTAGAGCTTCCTTTGATTCATAATAAGTGGAAAATTGATCAACATGTTGGATGTATATTTGCTTGATGAAGGCATCATCATGGATGCCTTCATCCATGATGATGAAGGCAACTAACATGTATTGTTAGTTGCAGTTTCATAATTGAATACTTTATTATGTTTTTATGGTGCAAAGCACTTTGAACTGTCTTGTTGCTGAAATGTACAACACAAATCGACTTGACTTAATCAACTTTAAGAAACATTCATCCTGTCCAATCCAACTGAAAGTCCAGAACTGAATCCAAATATGAAATGTGTTTCACGATGTGAAAAATAATGCTCAGATTCTCTGCGTGTCTTTGGGAAATACTTTTTAAAAATATTTTCTTTTGAC